GCACAAAGCAGCAGGACTTCCCCCAGCCTCTCACCCCAATGCAGCCTTTCCCCACCGGGGTGAGAATTCGGATTTTCTGCCTCTGGCTGATCATTAGCACAAGCTCCCCTGTGGCTGGATTTTCTCAGGAGAAAGGCGGGGGAGTCCTGGCCGTGGGCGATTTGTTCCCCCATGTCAAGCTGCAAACAAAGCCCTGGGCTCCCGGGGGACAGGAATTTGGATCGGGAGACAGCACTGGCTGCTTGGCTCGAAACCTCGCCACGTTACACAGCAGCCTAATGTCCCTGCCGCCGGGTGCGTCATTGCTGCAGCCCGGGTGCGTCATTTCTGCGCAGAAAGGTTGAAATGCAGCTGGCCTCGATCGTCCTTCTCCCGCCTCCGTCAGGTGCATGCGGAGGAGAGGCAGCAATCTCCGCTCCGTGATAGGTGGAGGACTCCAGCCCTCACCTTGCAAAGGACACCGTCTCTGCCTTCAAAGCCGCCAGGCTGTCCAGTGCAGGGCATAACAGAGCAGGGTTGCCCACCGTCAGTAAATTTACAGAAACTCTGTAAAAAATTAGACAAAATTGGACACGGCTGTTAAGTCCGTAACAAAATTTAGGTGCAATAAAATTTCAAAAACCAGCAATTAATCTATAGCAATTAAATGTCTTCTGTGCTGTTTCAGGCATTTCACTGCGGAGCAGCCGAAATTGGCCGTTTCCGTTGATGATGACTACAGCTACGGTCAACAGCGTCAGTGTTCGGCTGCATGATCACAAAATGGAAAACTTCCAGGATCACGACTAACTCAATGAAAGTGAGTTAAATAGCATATTGTTCTTGTGATGTATGAATGACGATTTCTTTTCACTTTTGGCCATTTATGTCATCTTAATAGAGTATAAAAATTATGTCCGTAAAAAAATGTGTCTGGCCGTACATTTTTCCCATTTTGTCCGTAATGAAATTTCTGTGGGGTGGCAGTCCTGTAATGGAGCCCCGAGCCGGCCAGCCTGCAAGGGAGATTCAACCCCAGAGCTAGGGGGAAGTATTGGCAGTCCTGTAATGGAGCCCTGAGCCAGCGGGCCTGCAGGGGAGATTCAACCCCAGAGCTAGGGGGAAGTAGGGAAGCAGATGCTGAACTTTACTTGCAGAAAAAGCTTTGTAAGTAGGCTTCAGGGCAGTGTTCCCTGTAAGCTGAGCGCTTAGACAGCTGCCCAGGAGAGATTCCAGAGCAGCCTAGCTGATTAGCAGAGCACCATAGCAGGCAGCTTGTGTTTCTAATGGTGGTGCACATCCACACAAGCCTTGGTGCATAGAACAAAATTTATTCTGCACACGGATGGCCAAAATGAGAGGGAACATGGATGCAGGTGCCTTTCTGTAACAAGTGTGTGGGTGTGTTGCGGGATGGGGAACAGAACACAACACTGGCATCTCTTTGCTGTGTGACCATGTTCTTAAGCCACTCTCTGCCAAAATGAGAGGGAACATGGATGCAGGTGCCTTTCTGTAACAAGTGTGTGGGTGTGTTGCGGGATGGGGAACAGAACACAACACTGGCATCTCTTTGCTGTGTGACCATGTTCTTAAGCCACTCTCTGCCTTGTGAAACAGGGAGCGGGAGACTTGTTTTCTCCCATGGGGATTACCGGTACACAAAGCATGCTGAGACCCACAGCTGAAAGGGATTAGCAGGAATTAGGAACTGCTCGAGTTCACCCACAGCCTTACTCAGATCGCTGCCAGGTGCCAAAGCAGCTACCAAACTCTGGCCCTGCAGCGTCATACTGGAAACAAAATTCCTTTAGCAACTCAGTATTCTCACGCCTCATTACAACTCCCCTTTCTTCCCTCTGGTTCGCTGCTCCAGGGGACGGGAGGGACACCAGAGCTGGCTGTGCACAAGTATTTTCTAAAAGCAACTTCCTTTTCTGAAGCGTGGGGCTGTTGGGAGAGGCTTCCCTGCAAGCCCCTGCCTGGTTAGCCAAGGGCGGCTGCGATGGGGTGCAGGTTACAGGAGACCACTTGGGGGTGCCTCCAGAGTGCTGGCAAAGGCAACGCCACTCACCTTCCTGCTGTCTGGAGCTTCTCACTGCCTGGTCCTGCTGGGCCTGCTCTCCTGCAGCCACTTTCCACCACCTTAGGGTCAGGATGGCCCTGAGTCCTCCTACCCCGGGACTGCCCAGCTTTTGGCTGTCCTGTCCTATGCCGGGGGGCAGGACTCGATCCCATGACCCAGTCCTCCCGAAGCCAGCACCTCTCTCCCCTGGGCCACATGGGAGCCCACCCCACTGCCTTACCGTCAGGGCGCTCCTTATCCCTCCCGCCCCAGCGCCACCCGTCGTTTTGTCATCCCGTCCCGACCACAAGATCACTCCCCCCACCCCGAGAAGCAAACACTGAACCCCTTCAGGTCCGAGATGGGCACAGTTTACGGCCCACCTTCCCGAGACACCACTCCCCCCGTGGGATCAGAACCGCCACAGAATGATTTAGGTGAGCTATGAAAGGGGGAACGTGCACCCCGGGTGCCCCCCCCCCCGTAACAACTATTTACACTGGGCGTGATAGAAACTAGAAGTGATTTTAGTAAGTACAAGCAGAGGATGCCAGTGGTAACAAGTGAGAAACAGTGTTAGGGTGAGCGTGTAATGAGTTCGTGCGCTGAGGTTTCCCAGTTCGCATTAGCTCAGCGTTTTCTGTTGTTTTGAGTTAGGATTCGACTTTGCTCTGCCTGTTGGAAAAGTTAGCAAAGTCGAATCCTAATTCAAAATAACAGAAAACGCTGAGCTAGTGCGAACACGGCAACGTCAGCACACGAACTCATTACACGCTCACCCTAACACTGTTTCTTTTCCAACAAAGTCTTCCAGACCAAGGCTGTTCCTCACCCTGGGGTATGTGGTTCTTTCCCCTGGGTGTGTCCAGCCAGCCAGACAAAACACTCCTACTTTCCTATTGTTTATAAAGATTCCCGTTTTGCATGGAAAGTCATCCGGACCGTCACTGCTTACGGACTTAAGGCTATTTGCATTGTATTGCCCCATCCTCGAGGCCTCCCAGCAGCGGAACCACCTGGATGGCTTTCCATTTACGCACTTAAAAAACCCTAAAACATTCCCTACGCCAGATGTCTGCTTTCACACACAAGAATGACCCCCTCCCCCAAAATCAGATAAACAGATCCAGCGGCGTATGACACGAAGTGGGACAGGTTACACGAGATAATTTGTCCAAAGCACCTTTGAGTTATATTTCTGCCCCTACATTCATTTAATAAAGCATGGAGGGGGGCGGGTGTCCGTCATACCGACGTTCCATGGGATCAAACGATTCAGCATAAACGACGACACTATTCTTGACGTTTCTAATTCTGGCTAAGTGTGAAATGCTGATCTACGTTATAATCTACAATGGCTGGAAACAAGCAGAGAGAAAACACTTTTTAAGCACAAAACAAACCCCTATGTTTTCTTTACCTCTTGGCGGTGCAAAAATAAGGACTCGTGACATGACCAGTTTGATTTTTTTTTTTAAACTATCCTGTGTAAGGTCGCATTGGGAGCCAAATTCCCTGGTTTCCAGCTAAAGATATTGGACAGGGTTTGCCCGTTGAGTGCAACCCTCTCGAGATGCAGCGTAGAGCCGAGTTTTTCTCACTGTAAAAGAGAAGGGAGCTAACTATGCCCCTAACCCAAAGAGGCCTCTGATAACGCAGCAAAATGGACAAGACCATCTTTGGCGATTGCTGCTCTTTGCCGAAAGATTTCAAAGGGGGCACTGTTGAGGTCAACGGGGCCGAACCGTGACCTCCCTTTTAAAAGGACAAGGCAGG